CGAAAACATTCACCATTCACCCACGAGACAATGGCCTCCTCCTAAACAGAGAGGGAAATCCCACAGAGGGCCAGCGGTGGTAAGCAGCACCATCCCGTTCGTATGTGCCTATACGTGTGTAGGGCACACGATTATTTCTCAGCTGTCAAACGCTCGACGGAGCGCCTCTGCCGCCGCCGAACATGAAAGACCGGATCAATCCCGCACTGTTTATATACCTATAGCGTGGGAGAGGAAAAAAAGTGTAATGCTCAAAACGCACGCTTCTCACACACGAGCGGGGAATTGGTAAAAAAAAACTCGCTGCTACCATGCGTTAGAATTTGTACGGCACGCGCGCCTATTGTATACATATATCAAAAAATATAATGAAAAACACGGGGATAGAAAACTATTGGGTTATTGGAGAGGGGGAGAGATGGTGGCCCGCGAGGGTTTTTCCTTCCACGCAGGCTAAATGCAAGGAGTTGGGTTGCACGATGTATAAGGTACAGCCGTGAACGAGCCGACGGTAGACTCACGGTGCGGTGGTGTACCTACTGTTTCATATACGTTATAATGATTCGATTGAGACGCATCGCTATATACTGTCAACTGATGTGCAACGAAAGATATCATTGTCACTTTTGACGATTGTTAAACCATCAGTCCTCGAAAACCCGTCGACCCATGTAGTACTGAACAAAGCGAAAATTCTCCAAATCGCTAAAACCGAATGGTTTTTAACAATCAAATAAGCAGACGTATGGATATACATATATATGTGATAAGTACAATCACAGAGATATAAGAATAGAGTGCACTATCCCCACATTACCCTGTACCCTCATGCTGTCATAAGTGCAAAAGATAATGTACGTGGCATTATCGCACAGTACAGAGTTTGATGAGGATAGCTGCTCACTCTATTCTTATATCTCTATGAGTACAATCCACAAAGGCATATATGCCAATATATATTTGTAAGTACACATACATAGAGCCAGAAATTAACGCTCCCACAACTGTTGCGTCATCATATGTATGTATATTGAGGGTGAGAGACACACACAGAAGATATACAGAGGAGGGAATCCCCGTCGTTCCGTTTACCATTCCGTTTCGTCTGGCGGTGGCGCGTGGGTGGGGTATAAGTACAGATATACAACTGCTGCTGAGCTTTTACACCACACAAAAGAGCAACAGAGAGAGAGTAGAAATTCCCCGAGTGTTATATCCCTGTAGCAGGAGTGTCGGTGGTGGCGGTGGGATAGGGACAGAGTGTGGGGACGATTCATTCAGAGAAACAGCCGTGAAAGGGACACCTGTTGGGCGCCGGCTTTTCTCTCTCTCATTCCCATTCTGCAGTGGTATATATAGATACGTTCTCTGCTCTGCGCAGGGATCGTGTGCGGGTCCCGCGACGACGACAATCGTAGAAACGTATACCTATATATGCATGCAAGCCACGGAGATCAAAACGGGGAGGGAAAAAGCCACTTGTGGTTACGGCTGTCGTCCCGTTGCTGGATTTCTCTTTCTTTTTCCGGACTGTCGCGTGCCGCCGCTCCTCCAACAACATACATATATATATATATATATATATAATCGAGGGAGATTTATTTTGTTTCGTCGCTTACGACTGTCCCGTTCCTTTTTTTTTTTTTTTTTTTTCTCTCTTTTCTTACGATGAGCTCCGTGTACTATATTTATTTCAGATTCGCATACTGCTAATTACATTTTAATCATCCAAAACAGATAAACGGCTTTGGAATTAACGATGAGTGTCTGCATGTATATGTATACAACATTACAACACAAACCTACACATATTATATGTAAGTAGTGTTGAAAATGACCAAAAAAAGTGTGTACATGGCGTTTCGACGAATCCGTGCGCTCCGCAAACGTCGATATAAAGAAGTGAAATCAAGTCGATATTATTATTATGGCGTGTATACATTGTATGGACAAAGAGCCCTGCACTCCGATCACCGGCATGCTATATCGAAAGGAAGTGAAAGGCAGGCACGAGCGAAACGATCCACACCGAATAATCGAATATTTTTCTTCGAGTTTTCATTTTTCTCACCCCCGACTCTATGCGTGCCAAAATTATAAAAATATACTACTCGAAGGCAAGGGCTCGTTACGCGAAACGAATTGGCCCTTTATTTTGCACAGCCGATTGATTTTCTCGCACAATTCTATACGTATCTATACACCCCTTTTTTTATCTTGGGTGGGGGGGGGGCATATTCGATGGGTTTCGAATCAATGGGTGAAATACGAGTGCGCACTTTCATCTCATATCCGTATTTATCATGTATTTTAATTACATATTATGTGTGTTTTACTGCACAACTTTTAACATATATATGTACAAGGGTATAAGTACAGGGAAAAATGAAGATTGATCGAAAACTCTGGTGATTATTACAAAACGCGAAAAACGTCGATAAGATCATTGAAAAAAAAAAAAAAAAAAAAAAAGTTGTTTACACGGACTAACGCGCACATTAAAGAGAAGAAGCGGCTGTATAGTCAAACAGTGGAAGTATAAGTAATTTAGATGTATCGGAACACCCGAGGTATACATATATGTATGTCGGGAGCGATGATTTAACTCTTTCTTGGCTTCTTCTCGTCGCTACAACATAAACAGTCTCTCGGCCGTGTACATATATGTATAACAATCGGCCTCAAATTCAACCCAACGTCTCACTGTCTACGAGATCAGATTGGGGGGAAAAGGGGGGGGGGTTGGAAAAAATAAAACAATCAAGCAAAGAACATAGAGCCGTGGCAGCGACTGTCTGTACTGATGAATGTAAAAAAGATAAATCAAATAATCCTCGCCTATGTAACGCCAGAGTTCCCCTGAGAGTGAGAGAAGGGGGGGGGGGGCAAGGTGCGAGATAGGCAAAAGCTCTCCAAGAGAGTCCGAAGATGGAGTGCTGCCCAGAGGCGACACGTTGTGTTATTAACGCGCACAGGCTTCCGTTTGCCCCCCCCCCCCCTATTCACACGCACACTCTATCTCTTTTTTAAAGCTGCGCGTATATATTATACACATGTGGGTATACGAACACATGATGAAGCGCGAAGATTATTTGCCCTTTACACGCCTGGTTTTTTTTATGATTACTTCAATTTGCAATTCTTACCCAGAGGACGAGGAGTGACGCGACGGGCCCCCCGCATTTCCACGAGGGTTCCTTCATCTTCTGTTTTTCATTTGAGTTGATCTTTTTTTTTTTTTTTCGCTCGACTACCTGAAATTATTCACCCCCTCTTGTTACATTTTTTTTTTTTTTTCCAATCGTACACTTATCCAAGAGATAAAAATCTGGTGTACGTACAACACTGACAATTTGATCGACTTCTGATGCAACGTCTGAACAGAAAACGTTTGGAAAAAACGGAAAAAAAAAAAAAAAAAAAAAAAGAAGCATTTGTGTTCCCCCGCTGCAAAAGTCTAGCAAATCTTTCGAGCAGACATACACATACCGCGTACCAATATATGCCGGTATCTACTCCTGAAATCGTGATCGCCACAGGGCATCAGACATTCACGCACCGTATATATACACAACGCATTCCTGAGAGCCGGACAGGCCAGATACGGGCGATTTTGCATCGTATGTACGCTCGCTCGTGTATATACAAGTATAAGGTATGGGTACATCGTGTATACCTACACCGGAGTAAACATTTTTTCACACAATAATTCGCCGAAGCGTTTCTCTCTTTCCCGCACACGAAGTACTTTTTACAAGAAAAAATAAAAAAATAGAAAAAGATACACAATACGTGTAATATCGACGCGCGTGTGACCGTCGCCGCGTGCAACAACCATGCAAGGGGAAGGGAGAAAGTCGCACTTTGCTTATCGTCGTGCGAACGATTTCGGCTGTTTTGCGCTATTTTTTCCTTTTTTTTTTTTTAATGGCATGCCGAGAGAAATTTTCCGTGCGCCCGATTGATTTCTCTCTCTCTCTCTCTCTCCGTGTGAGAGATATTTGCCCGGAGCCAGAGCGCCTATCGACGGGACCGCGAGAATGAGTCGCGTTATTGTTGTTTTGTTATACATTATACCCGGAGCTGATTGACTTTGTTCTTTCTGGTATAGCTCAATATACCCGGTCGATATAGGCGTATGGTGCACTCTTAACGAAAGAGCTGATGCGTGTTTGAGCGTGGGACACACCTTGAGAACTCGCTCGATGGGAAAAGTATTGAGTCTTATTTTTTTTTTTTTTTTTTTCCATTTACGAAGGAGAAATTTTTTTTTTTTTTTGGAATCCATACGTTTGCAAGAAAACGATTGCTTCTCGGATAGGATTTCAGGAGATCTCGATCACTGAAGAAGCTGAAACTAGCAGACAAATTCCAGCAGCTATACCTTCAAATAACAAATTCTACGCGGGGTACCCTTAAAACTAAAATAGATAACACCTCTTTATTTTACTAAATTAGGAAGGTTCCTGGTCTAGTTTTATGGGTATACCCCAAGTAGAATTTTTTATTTGACGGTACCATTGCTGAAATTTGTCTGCTAGTTTCAGCTTCATTGATCACTGCGAGTACTTTTGATAGCGTCCCTTGGTTAAGATTTGCGAGTTCCATTTCCTCGTAAAGCGATCGTTGGCGGGGGAAAATCGTCAACGGTCGTGTCAATGTTTGCTCGTTGCAAGCAGTAAGTGCAATATCATATACAAGTAAAAAAAATATTTGTGCGCGATCCGGACGAAATCAAGCATTTTTATTTCATTCGGCAGAGTGACATTCATGGAAAACGTCATACGTTTCCACTCGAGCCCGTACACGAATGACGTATAATTACGATTGACATCGATCCTTTGTGTTGATGCGCCAACTAAACCACGTAACTTTGAAAGAAAACTTTGACAGTAGAAGATCAAAGTCACCTTTGAAATCGGTACGACGGGATTAGGGCACATACTGATCCTGCCCATGTATCGGCGACGATCGGCCGATTGCTCGCGTTATAAACTTACCTGGCGGTCGTGCAGTCCTTGTAGAGTACGTCGAAGTCCTTGCAACTGAGGAGCTTGCACCTGTTGACGCCAGGCTGTATGGCCCCGAGGCCCCTGAGGATCCTGACCTGCTCGACGTTGCAGACCAGGGGCACGATGTCAAGCCTCTTGAGTTTCGTGTACACGGTGTGGAGGCCGCCCACCAGGTGCTTAAGAAACAACTCGAAGGCTTGGGGCAGGCAGAGCATCGTGTCCCCCGATATGATGAACGCCGCGACCTTCTGGCCCCGGTAATCCACGAGCTTGCACTCGTTGGCCGTGGGATCGCTCGTACTTATCGGCGGCGGACTGCTGCTGTAGTTCCTGGGCGGCATGACCGCATGGTGGGCCGCCATCAGGTCGAGCGGTGACCCGTGGTGGGCCCCCAGCATGCCCCCCAATTGTCCAAGCAGGCCCAGTCCCGGTGGCGGCAGCCCCGGCATTCTGGGTACCATGCCGGCCGGCGTCCCCGGTGGCCCGGCGCCCCCTCCGCCCGACAACGGGGGCGGTGAGAGGGGCAGGCCCTGGGGAGGCGAGCCCCTCGTTGGGGAGCCGGGCGTCGGCATGCCCCGGTGCTGGGGTTCCCTGTGCTCGGGGCCGCGCAGCTGGTCGCGCGGGTGCGACAGCGACGGTGGGACCGGTGGCTGCTGGTGGGCACCCGGCGGCAAGCCGTGCATGTGGTGCTGTTGTTGGCCGGCGCGTTGGTCCGGGGCGCCCGGGCTCGGGGGGTTCTTGGGGCTCGCGCTGATCGGGCTGGCGCGGCTGCTGGGCTCCGACGAGCTGTCCATCGCCCCGTGGTCCATGGTGCTGCTGCTCGGCGGGGGCGAGGCGGATCGGCCCTCGTAGCTGCTGTAGCCCGACTGGAGGTGGTGGAGCTCGGCAGGCGCGGCTGTGGGGCTACCCCAAAGCTGGCGCTCCGTATGCTGGGCCCGGAACCACGGGTATATCTTCGCTAGGGGATGAATTTTCGGGGCCGGTTGGCTGGCTCGCGGGCCCCGTGGTTTACACGGAGCAGCGAGTCAAGCGAGACGAGACACGAGTCTCAGCGACCGGTCGCCAGTGTCATTCTTCCTTTTTTTCCCCAACTTCCTACCCCGCGCTCTCCCCCTTCCTGCCTCTTTGTTCACTCTGTTTTTTATTTATCCTCTTTTTTCTTCAAGCGAAATAACAATTGTAATATACAACACCAACAGCTGATTTCACGGATAACCGGTTTCCTCCTCCCAGCGACATTCGCTGCTATCGCTCGACTATCCACCAAAAAAAAATATATATATATATATCGTACAAGCACAGCACAGTTTTATTATTATTACTATTATTTCACTCGACTCCTATTGTTATAGGCACTCAACTGTTTTCCACTATTTCGTTGTTTGGTGGTCATAACCCGTATAGTTTAAGCACGTACACCACAACAACACACTCGTCTGACAACCGAAAACCGAAAATAAAACTCGATCACAGAAGTACTCGAATACTCATAGATTTCACGTGTGCCTCGCAAGTGTCAACTCAACCGTCGCGCAGATCCATCGCGACTTTTCGCTCGTCTGCATCACCGAGCGCACAGTGTTTATCGCGAGGGAAAACATCGTTTGGAAATACTCGGGAGGGGGTGGTGTTTTCTCACGGGTGATCGGCAAGGATGATAACGAGCGCTCGATCTGGACACCCGCGTTGACAGTTACGTGCCGACGACACAGCTGACGGGGCGCGCGCGCCCGCGCGGCGAACTAACCTCCGCGCACTTTTTGCCCCGTGTATCTTGAAAAATAAATACAAATTGGGGAGAAAAAAGGCACACACGCGGCACGTCCCGAGGATAACCCGCGAAAAGATAACGAGATCGATTTTTAAGCGCGATCGCGAATAGTACCACTGCCACTGTGCAGACAGCTCTGCGGAGCGGGATATACGGGGCTGAAGGCTGTGCTGGCGGAGTCTCTCTCCCACCGCGCGTATGCTCCCTTCTACCGATGCCCTCGTCCTGCGGCGTTTGCCAAGCCACCAGCGCCAGCAGTCACAGATGTAATAAATAAAAACACACACTCGGCAGTAGTATACCAGCAACAGCTCTATCTCTCTCTCTCTCCTCTCCCTCTCTGTGTAATGGGTAGGTTGGTACTGTATTTTCACCGCGCGTCAGTGTCCCACATCAGAGACACAAGCGCGCGCGCACACGCCACTGCCACCGGCATCACGAGCGAAGGTTATACGACCGTCCCCGCCGCCGCTTATTCCGTTGCTCTCTGTTTCTCCCTCTGCAGTCTCTTTCTGCGTTTGTCCGTCTGTCTCTGTCTCGATCCGGCTGGCTGGCCGCCGCGCGCCGACATCACCACGCGCCGAGGGGAGGGGACAGGGCTTATCACTCGTCCACCGGTGGTGGGGGAAGACCCACAGTCTGAGGGGGCGGGGCCACTACGAGCAGATTGGAGGGAGGCGAGCGAGTCGGCGGGGGCCCGATTGGCCGACCGGAGGGGGTTAGGCCGCGCCCCCTGAGCTGCCCACCACGAGCCCGTGAGCTATCGGCCAATCGGCGGTGGTGGGGGGGGGGCGAGACCGCCGCTCGAGCCGCCGTTCGGGCAGGCGCAGGGCAGTGTGCGCCGAGCCGCTGGGGAGGGGGTACAACGCGCGTGTTCCCTGGTGGTGGGTAGCTTTTTTAGGCGCGCTCGCTTCTCCTCGCGCTGTTTTCTGTGTGTATACGGAGTGAGGGGTGCAACTGCCGCGGAGAGGGCTGTTCTGCACCTCTTTTCTCTCTTCCCGATATTCTACGTATACATATAAGTATTTGCCGGTCTTACAGTATAATATTTATATGCACACACGCGCTCACTGAGGGTATTGTGACCCTCTCTCTCACTGCGGGCTGCCCTCACTTTGTGTTCCGTGTGCCAGCGGTAGTGCAGTGGGCGACGGGCTTTGCACGCGAGAATATGGGCAGCACACGCATGCACCGGGATAAAAGAAACAGAGTCAGTAGTCAGAGTGTGTGCCTCCTCCCTCTCCGACGCTTTCTCGTCTTTGATTCGCCTCTCTTCAACCCTCCGTGAATTTTCTTCTTTGTCTCTCCCTCTCTTTCTCCTCGAAAGTTTGTCTCCGACAGCGACAGGAAAGAATGCCGTGTCCCCGGCATTGGAATCGATCGACGGGGCCGTAGAAGAGGGCAAAAAGAGGAGGAGGAGGAGGTGCTTCGACATATATATATATGTATCCTTGTGGCGAATAAGAAGGAGGCTGTAGAAGAAGGACGAATGTCTGCGCTCTCGCTCTCTTGTCGCTTTCACATCGTCGTTCGCCATCAAAGTCACACATCACGCGCGTAATATAATACACTTTTGTTTCGCATCCTGGCTATGTTATCCAGGTATACATGCATAGCTGAACACTCTAGTCCTTCTCTTTGAGTCACCATCTTTTTCTCCTCCATACCATCTCTTTGGCTTACGTTGTACATAGGTAAATTTCAACCTATAGTGGTTTGCTTTTTTAGTGAAATTTATATTTATCTATGACGTTTTTTGTTTTGTAGCGACTGCTGTTGAGAGACTTTTTTTTTGTGTTTTCATTCCTGTAGTATGTTCTTTCGTAGAGATAAAATATGAATAATTTTAAGACATTGTACAACGAGAGAAAAAAAATGATGATATAAATGACTGTGTTATAATGATAATCTACATCGCCGTCTAGAGACTTGTTTTTTCATTTTTACGATTATGGACAGTAATTTCTCTATTGTATACACAGTAAAAATCACTGTACTCACTATATAAATTAACGTTCCAAATAGTAAAAATTCGTGTTTAATCATGACAACTTCTCTACGACCAAATAATACAAGATTACCCTTCTAGCATAGTAATTTTTATAATTTTTTTTTCCCTCTCGGTGTACTTATTTGTCAACCTTGAAATATTTGTACATACGAGGAGTTTATAGTTTTCATTAATTTGTTTAGTTATGTATAACTAAAAGTAAAAGACAAAAAAAGCTTATTTTCGCCAGTTGTGTGCTTTTAAGACCCTTATGGAAGTGTTTATACACTGCAGTTGCGTAATCTTGAATTCATCTGACAGCAGATGATAAAACCAAAACTATGAGCTTAATAGATGTCAAGAAAAGATGGAAAACAACTTTGGTGTATTGAGTATAGTGAATGGCTAGATTTTTTCATATTACATTATTTGTTTGATCCAATATTTCGACGTCCTCGTAGCATCATCACCATCAATCAGGATTGAACGATGAAAATCCGAAAATACATCATGACAGCGAACAACGATACCTTTTGCCTTTTGTGCATTTCTTTTGGAAATTATGTGGTTTTTGCGTGCACAAAAAATAAGATGGCAGTAAATTGATAAAACGGCACTTGAATACGTTTACGATATAAATATTGTGACACAACATCTCAAATTAAATGAAGGAGATGCTCATTGAATTTTTTAAGTATACCCTAAATTCATTGTAAGTAAAATTGTTCATCTTCCTCGAAATAAGTAGGTATTTACACCATAAAAAAGTGTCGTTGGAAACCTTCTCAATTCACTGCTTTATAGTTTGGTATATACTTTGTAAGGTATAAAATATGCAACTGTGAACGTCATAATCCATGTATACTTTAACAGTTACATCCTTGACGGCGACGCGTTGAGGATGACATCGAAATTTTATACCTGGCACAAAATCGCGTATTCGAAATTTCATTGATATTAATCCTAGCACAAATTAATACCCTTAATGTATAAATACGTCGTTGATGGAAAAAAAAAGTTTTTTTCTTCGAGTAATTTAAAACGAATCGCGTACTAAATCTCGGCACGCATCACTGCACTGCGTAAACGGCAAATTTGAAAAAAGAAAATTTCAGAACAGGCGTTCGTTTAAATAACGCGTAAAATAAATCAAATCTCCCTTTTTTTCCTCAAAACGCGCAGTAAAGTAACAATATATTATAACGTTAGTAGATAAGTAAACATGAGTCATAAACAGCAGCCGATAGAAACATCAAAATCAACGGCCGAAATCTCCATCGTTTTTTCGTCCCCCCACTCCCGCTATCTCGAGCATCGAAAATGGTAAGGGATAAAAAAAAAACACTCGCCCATCCGCACCGTGCAGCTATATATATGTATACAGCATCGCAACAACCTTCGTGTACATGACCTGTACGGGTGAATGTACGTTTATGCAACATCATCACATATACGCTTTAGGCTCAATGTTTTTTGGTTTGTAAGTGTATATAGAGAGTAATCGAATAATCTTTGACCTTTCGGCAGCTTATCTCAATTACATAGTCGTTTTGCGGCCAGCGGAAGGACTTGTGCACCAAAAAAGAAGCCGATATTTGTATATGTTTGTGTGTTAGTGTGTATATACATGACAAGAGCCTTACACATTGCACTCAATCAAGGAAATAAGTGTAGGTGATTTTGCGGTGATTGGTCCAAATGGTGTCCATCTATAAAGTTGAATCAGTCAAATTTCACTGCGAATCAGTAAAATGTTGTTTACTCATCACAATAAGTAAACGACTTTTCACTTGTAATTAGTCAATATTGACTAATTCGACTGATCTAACTTCTAGAGGGAGAGAGCTCATGCCGTCAAAACGTGTTAAATTAGCGAATATCCTATGAAGCTCTGCCAGGGAAAAATAAGGCTTTTTTGACGAATTAGCGCGTACGCGTTATC